TTATAAAAATTTGTATTAACAAGATATATGATTAGAAAAATAATTTTATTTTTAAAATACTCTTTAAACATAAATTTTAAATTAAACTATACAAAAAATATATTACGAAATTGTCCCAAGTCCTTGTAAAAGTTTTACTAGCTTATTTTTTCTTGGATTAGAATATTGTTAAGGGATGAATCTCGAAAAATCTCGAAAAATTTAAATTAGTCTTCAACTACACTTTTTTTCCCTTATAACCGAATTTGTAATTTTTACAATTTTCGAAATAACAATACTGTTTAATATAAAAAGTAGTCACCCTGTATAGTACCCTCCCAGATGTTTCGACTCTGCCAAAAATCTAATCAGTTCGCCACAGAATAAAAATTAACTGTGAAATTTTGTGTCAATTAAAATATTAAAAGTAGCTATTGTAAAAAAAAATGTAAAATAAAAATGCCCCTTAATAAAAAAATGTTTAAACTGAAAAGTATAAAAAGATAATAATCTTTTTCCCACTGTATATGGATGTAATTGAATATTAAAACAGTTTTGAATTCTAATTCAACTTTTTTTATAATAATTTTCAATATTATCAAAAAGATACTTTTTTGCACAAAATTGACTCGCCTGGTATACGAAATAATTTCATATCTCATATTGTATGGTTGTATTTAAGATTTTAGACAGTGTAAAAAAATCTATTTACCTATAATGAATAATTTTTTTCCAGAAACTTCGTAATAAAAAAATTTTTTTAGATACTGCCAATTTAAATAGTAAACATTAGCTATTTTTGTAAGTTATACGTTGCATTTTAAATAATCAGAAACCGCCACAAGTCAGAAAACAAAGAAAATTACATTTTTTGTTCAATAGATGCAAAGTATCATTGAGTTTTTATTTTAATTACCGCCACAAACCAAAATATCCTCGAGAGATATCCAAAAAACATTTAAAATCTAATTACAACTCAAGACTGTGTTTAAAACTGCATCAATGTGGGTTATTTTGTGCAAAAACATCCAATTTTTTTACAAACTACGCAATAACTCGAGTCACGGCGCTTTTATATTTATAATCGTTAATTTTAAAAGCAAAAAACAATAGTTTTTAAATCAAAATATAAAGAGTTTATGTCAAAAACAAAATAATGATAATGAAGACTTTAAATTGAAATTTCTCAAAAATAATAATATTTTAGTTGTGGCAATATTTGATTGAGTTGTATGGGGGTAAGAAAAATTAAAATTTAATGAGTTAATATTGCAATTCAGTTACAAGTCAAAGTTTTATCAAGAATAACTTTTTCTAAAAAATCCAAAATAAAAACTTTGCCATATGCTGCAACATTTTTAAGCCTCACTGTATATGATAACACCTGGTATTAAAAGCTGGATATAACTATTAGGTAGATATTTTATTATAAAGAAATAAAAAATAGATATGAGACAAATGTACACTGAGAAAAATACAGCTCCATTGTAATAGTCATATAACTTGGTTCAAATGACATATAGAGACTTTTCATTTGCAGATTTCAATTGAGGAGGTTTCAATACATAACAACCATATGCGCAATTAACTTTTGTTCCGTTTGAGGGGGTGAATTTGGGGGTGAAATTTAAAAAAATCTATAGAAGTTACAAATGGCATTGTACACCTTTTAGCTTGGGATATGTCATGTAGTTTGTTATTTTCTTCATATCTGATACCATGCTGGAGTTTGTCGAGCCGTCTGAGGGGTTGCAATTGGAGTGAAATTTAAAAAAAATTATAAAAGCCACAAATGCCTTTATACACCTTTCTGCTTAGGATATGTTATGTAGTTTGTTCTTTTCTTCATCCCTGATACCATGCTGGAGTTTGTCGAGCCTTCTTAGGGGATGCAAGTGGTGAAATTTAAAAAAAAAATCATAGAAGCCACTAATAACATTGTACACCTTTGAAGAAAAGAGCAAACTACATAACATATCCCAAGCAAAAAGGTGTACATAGCCATTTGTGGCTTCTATGATTTTTTTTAAATTTCACCCTTAATTGCACCCCCTCAGACGGCTTGCCAAACTCCAGCATGATATCAGGGATGAAGAAAAGAGCAAACTACATAACATATCTCAAGCAGAAAGGTGTACAAAGCCATTTGTGACTTTTATGACTTTTTATTAAATTTCACCCCAATTGCACCCCCTCAAACGACTCGACAAACTCCAGCATGGTATCAGGGATGAAGAAAATAGCAAACTACATAACATATCCCACGCAGAAAGGTTTACAAAGCCATTTGTTTCTACTATAATTTTTTTTTAATTTCACCCCCAATTTCAACTCCTCAGACGGAACAAAAGTTAATTGCAGGTATGGTTGTCATATATTGAAACCTCCCCAATTGAAATCTGCAAATAAAAATCCTCTACATGTCATTTGAACCACTTTATATGACTATTACCATGGATCTATATTTTTCTCAGTGTACATTTGTACATCGTATATTTTTTGACTTCCCTCGTATTTATGATTAAATAAATTAATAAGTAATGGAATTTAGTTCAAATCAAACTTTTATCTAGCAATACATTTATCTAATAAATCAAAAATAAGTCATACATGTAATGTAATGTTTTTGAGTCACACTGTATATGAAAACACGTGGTATTACAAGCTGGATATGGTTTACTGTTTTTCTAATAAAGAAATAAAATTTAAAATAATTATTTTAGCAGAAACATTGAGAAAAGATGTGTATACTTGATAGATATATAGGTAGATACATATTTCTATAAATACTACATACAAAAGCCAATAAATCCATAAAAAACTTTCATTATATTATTTAGTGCAATTTTTAACTATTATGTAGTGAAATGTACCTAAAATAAATTTTTTATCTAAGTAGGTAGTACCTAAGTGTTTTTTATTAGACAAAAAATACCTATAGATAACAAAAATGCAAAAAAACGTTACCTTTTGCATAAAATGTTGATTTATTTCCTTAAATATCCTGAATGAACAAGCACTTTATTTACTATTGATAAAACTAGCAGCTTTACATAAAAAAATAACCTCATAATATTCTTAGATAAACGATATTCAGAGAAAATTAAAATGACAGGTACAAAAAATACCTACTAGATTCTCTTGGGAAATATGAAATTTATTTTTTCAATAAATTAAATGAAGCATTCTCGAAATATGAATATATAAGTACATAATGAAAAAAAAAAAAATGTATTGAATTCGATATATAATATTTAATAGTTATAGATAGGTATGAAATATTTTTTCTTTCAAAGCATACCCAAGCTGAGTAGATACAATGTATGAATCAACAGTATACTTGCCGATTTGTTATGAAAATATAAAAAAAAATAGCTTGCTCACCTTATAAAACTTCTCTAATTTCGATGAAACACACACTTTTATAAAATATAGTAATTTTTGATTAATATTTAAACAAGAAAAGTTCCACATTTGAATTAGCTACAAATAGACGCCAACTTGAATCAGACCAGTGTTGCCAGATCACTTTTGGGAAAAACGTAATAGATCAACTTTCAAAATTGTAAGAAATTACAAGCAAATATAATTAAGGTTTTATGTTAACTATATGAAAATCAATTCGTCTATATGGTTATTATATTATTTGACAGGACACAGGTTCAAGGTTTATGTTCATCAATCGATTGAAATTCGTGAAAATGTAATAGATTTATTGGACGTATAATAATAGGTCTGTTCGGGTACTTCAAAAATACATTGAGAACTGTCAAAGGATTAAGAATTGGAACTCTTTTGGATAACAATTTACAGTATGAGAACATATTATGTATTACTTTCTACTTGTATTTAACATATTACTGTAAACATTATTTTAATTAGTTGACTAGTGGACAGTTTAATAATTCTACGAAATAGATAATTTAAAATTTAACTGTTCCATTGTTTCTCCGACGGTTTTAAAGCAGCCAGAACGAACCACAATAGTAACAAACTTTTCATAAGTGTAATAGATTTGTTATGATTGTTAACAAACTGGCAACGCTGGTCAGATAGCAAAATAATTACGTATTTTGGCCAATCAGAGCTTGCACGTGACAATTTCCAATAATAAGCAGTGTCTAAAGTTACAATATCGGTATAATAGCGGTGTAAATAAAAAAATATACGGGATTTGTATTATTTGTTGTTTTTTTATTTAGTTAATTTGGATGTTATGAATAGTGGATATTATATTTGAAATAATTATTCGTTATAATGTAGAAAAATGGTGGTATAGATACATATTGCAAATTAAACTGTTCATACGATGGATATGTAAACACATTTTGATTACATGGACCGTACTCAATATATTTAATAATTTTAGTGGAATATTTTTTATTGCACATTTCAATTTCTTGGATTTTTAAGATTTTCTATAAGATAATACAAACATTTTATTTATATTTCTTAATATACAGTGGAGGTGCAAAAACTTATACACCATATGGTAAACTTTTATTGTTACTTTCTAAGCAAATTTCATTCCTGACAAAAGTTGTTAAATAGTCTAAAATATAAATCCATCGTTAGTAACTATTGAAATACTTGTTCCATATACGAGGGACGTTATAAATATATAAGCATAACATTCTTTTTATGCCTCTTTTGTAGCAATCTGTCCTAAGACTTTAAACTACTGTTTCAGTGTAAATTGGCTGCATTTAACCTTTTACCTAAAATATTTTTAAGCTAAGTACTTAAGTACTAGAACACTAAAACACTTATCTATATCTGTCTGTTAGTTTTGATGCTATAAACCTTTTCAGCCGTCTTGGTTGGCCTGTCTGTTCAAAAACTGTTTATTAGAACATTGGGATGCTGACAATAACTGTTATTGACTTTTTTCACTGATGCTAGAGAAATACTGTTTATTTCTTGATAATCTAACAAAAAAAAAACACATCTCAATGTAGGAGATGTTAAAAATTCTCACCGCAAACCTCTTGGCAACATCCTAATCTAAATTATATACTACAAATTTTTTTAGAAAGAAAATACACAAATCATTTCCATGTAGAGGAAAAGCTTGTTGTACTTACAGACTGAAGAACGATAAAGAACAAAATATTAATCAAGTAGCATCATCTAAATTTCAAGCGTGCGTCTCACGACTATCATCTATCAAAAATGATAAACCTGTCAAATGTCAATCGGTACAAACGTCGAGGAAGCCCCGATTGGCTACCACCTGGCGACAAGATAAAGAAACTGGAGAATGGTATAAAATCAACGCACCGCTGTCCAATATACCGAATTTGCTTCCGTGTCAGAAAACTCCACATTTCTGTAATTGCGCTTTCTCTTGCTGTAGGTATTAAAAGAACATTGCAAGGTATTATTTTGCTTTATAAAACTAGAAACAATAATTGAAGGGCTTACCGTAAAAAACGTGAGAATTTACACTTTTAAAAATGAAGGTATTTTTATTTCACAACAAAAAATAAGGTTACAAAGTTACAGACGTTTTAAAAGGTTATTTTAACCGTATTATTCCAATAAGCTCTTCAATTGTACATTTATGTTTATTTTATCCTTTATCTGAAAAAAATATTATTTTGAATTAAATACAATAAAATTGTATGTCAAAATCGTAAGTTATTTTATTTAAAAAATTAACAAAAATACACTGTGTGCTTAATTGGTAGTTAGTTACATAAGTAAAACGATTTAAGCATATGTTCCATTTTCATTCTTCAAACCTAGTTGTCCTCTGGTTCCATAATTTCTTTATTTTCCTGAAAAAATAAAAAAAAATAAAACCTATATATAACTGAATATTATAACTTGTAAAATGAACGAATTTTACTTACTTTGATGCGTTTTCCAAAAGCAGAATAGAACGTCACAGTAGAGGTAGATTTAAAACCAGTATTTTGATTAAAAACCGTACAATTTTTGTACGGTGGGCAGTATAGATGTAAGCTTATTGCTGTGTCAACACTAGAAGGATTTTCTACTCTATGAAGACCAATAGAATCTGAAACAAAGAATAAACAACTTCTTAAGGTTTATATGGACATCTAGTGATATAATTATTGCATAAATTCATTAATTGTTACATATTTTATTAAAAAACACGCAAAACGTGAGTCTATCAATTTTGACAAATTTTCTTTCATACGTGACCTTTAGCACGCGCCGAAAGGGCTATATATTTAACTTGTATTATATTTAAAAATGTGTGATGCTACAAGAAATCACTGTTTACAAGAGTTTGTTGTTTCAAAATCCTTTTTTAGCAATATTTTCTTTACTGCTCCTAATTTTTTATTCATGCACTCTTCTAAGCGATATAAATACCTCATACTTACCATTTATATAAGCAACGTCATTAACATTCAACTGTTTCCTTCCGATTTCTTGTAATCGCTCTCCTTGTTCTTTCGGCCAGGCAAATCTGATTTCTTCCAGCGATCCTTGCAGCATTTTCATAAAGCAATGAGAGTTTGCGTGATCGTGAATCGCTGAACCGTGGCCTTCACCCCAACAAAGCGTCATCAAGTTATATTTTCCGTTGCCGTGGTCTACCAAATTTCTAGTGTATCTGTAATAAGACAAGTAGAATTTAAGGGACATATTTTTAGATGAATTTGAATATCTACGAATTTTCTATTACTATTAACGCTTTAGAACGTATTAACGTATTAAAAATGGCGTTATTTAGACCGATTTTTGACATCTGTCATTAGGTTAGTTGATAGTTGACATATGTTACGTCGGCAACACTAAATCGGACTAATAGTAACGAGGATTTTTTCTTTAAGCGTTAATTTGCATCACATTTCCCTTCCCTTACCCTCCCGTTTTTCTGTTTGAATCAGACCCATAATCATGGATACAATAACTAATGCCTTTTTGGCTTTGCATTGCGCATGATTTTTCTCTTTAACAATAATCTATACCCGTTCACTGCCATCTTGAGTTGTAAACCACTTATCCTAGGTTCAATTCTCAACACTGACAGGTGGCGTCATCTAGCGGTGACGTTTGTAACTGTGGACCCGTACCAACATAGCTTATCTACTCTTCGATATGACTGTATTTTGTAATTAAAGAAAATTAGATATTTATAAAGAAGATATTGGATTTCTTGATGATTTATTTCTTATAACTATCCTATAACTTATATAATTTAGAATCAACTTCGTTTACTATTGATACTTAAAAATAAAGAGGAGAATTTATAATATTTTGGTACATATATTTGAGATAATGGATAATTTATCTAATAAGTACAGATAAAATGAAATTTCTCAGAAATAATAAAGAAGGTCACTTTAAAATTATTAGCATATAAGTCAAAAGTAAAATAAAAATGATAAGATCGGTAGTAAGAAAGGAATTTACGTTCACGGTATTTTTTTCTTTGTGTTCCATTAAAATAATTGCACTTTCTCGAAAATTCTTTGTACAATAAGTATAGTAATACACAGTAAAGACACAAAAGAAGTCATGTACCACAACAATGAATAAATGTACTTTTCGATGGCTCAAACTTATGTACCTATTGGGAAAATTACCTGTCATTGTTAAATAATATTTTTCCTTAAATATCGTAATAGCATTTTGAATTACAAGGATTAATTTAACCTATAAATCTCTAGGAGAAACATTTGTATAATTGGATCCACTAGCTTTTAATTGAATAGAAAGTTATAGTATATAGGGTGTCCCAATAAGACACAGAGCTTCTGAAGATTCTCTATTTCATTTAATTTCTCTTACAGATTACATCCTAATTATTATAAAGTACTTATAACGTAAAATGTAAAAGGTAAGGAGTTCGTTTTTCCAAAATTTGTAGTTAGAAGTTTACTATCAAACCAATTTTTAATGTGAAGAAAATGTAACTCTTTTTAAGATCATACCAGTGGTGTGCCTGATAAGTGAATAATGCGTAGGGTGTTTTTTCGATTAGATCAGTGATGTCATCAATGTTACAAAAAAGCTACGACTCCATTCAAATTTGTTAACCCATATTATTATTTCCAAATCTTTTTATTTTGATTTCTTTTAATGCATCAATAACACAAGACGTTAATCAAATTTTGATTTATTAATATCAACGATTTAATTGCTAAATTAGGAAATTTTGGAATAATAACTTATGCAATAATTTATTTTAATATCCAATGTTTACTTAATATTATCATCGCCTAAATATTTGGATTATTTTTTAAATAAAACATAATTGTGATATGGAGATTTAGCAGAATTGCTTGAATAATTTATATACAAAATTTTCCATAATTATATCTACTTATCGTTAAATATATGTCTTTTTCAACTAACTGCATATAAAGGGTGTTGCAATAATAAGTTCCCAAAGTTTTCATTAAATAAATAAGAAAAAATTTAAGACTTTATAACAATAGGTAACAAAATAGGATACAATCTTGCTCTCATCAACAATAATCAATTAATATACAGTTATCCTGTACTATATGGTCAAGTGTTCGACTTTGAATCAGTGATGGTGATGACTGATGATAGATAACAATAATGATTCAAAATAAACGTTTGTTATAAACAAGTTACAAATTATGTAATTATGTACAGACACACAAATATATGTAAATGGAATTTCTAATAGATTTTTGGCAAATAAAAAAACATTCAGGGATCCATAAAATGGTCGATACAGACCTCTTGGGGTCAAAATTGGGTTGCCCTAGAACAATGACACGTTTAGTCTTACAATTAATATGGAGAAAAGTGAATTTTGTGTTGATTCATTGGATTTTTATTAGATAAAGGTGGTTTGAGGACAGATCCTCTTCCTACATACTTGATAATGAATTTCCACAACTTTTGGATCGATTGTAACCAATATACTTGGCCAACAAGTAGTCCAGTCCGTAATCCTATAGATTTTTCTTTTTGGGGTTTCTTAAATCAATGATTTATAACGAACCAATAAATGTTTTGCTGTAGAGGTATTCAGAAATGATAACATACTTTTTAATATTAAAAAAAAAATCGATAAACTAATACGAAAATATATTGTGGCCACTTCAAACATTTGTTAAGCACCCTGTATCTTTTTTAATATCAAGAATTGAACTAATATTTTTATACAAGGAATTCATTGCTTTGTATCCTATTATTAATGAACCACCCTGTATACAATCGAGGAGTAATTATTTTCTATTTTCAGGTAGGTAATATAGTAATAATAATGACATGCCATCTGTTCTAGATTGTGATGGATCTGCTTACTTATTTGGTAAAGTGTTTCTTTGTTAGAAACTCATTTTGTGTCATTTTTATTACTGGAATTGGATTCATCTTGATTTGCAAATAGTTCTACGATTTTATATCTATTTTAAGGTTTTATTATTGCCTTAAAATATCTTTCTGGTAATGAAATGTATTCAGCAACATTAATTATTATTAGAAGAATATAAAAATGATAAATAATATAAAATCAATACAAAACCAACTTTCAAATGATGCATAAACAATGAAATAGTCGTAAATGGTTATCTAAGATGGTCGACTTTGTAACGTACGTCTCCTATTGGAAATATAACATACATTCCTTTACTATTTTATATTCTAAGGTACAATCCACAAAGCACGTATTTTCTAGAGAGTTTAAAACCAAATTAGCGCCACCTTGTGTTTGGAGCAGGAACTAAAATGAGGTACAGAGGTACAATAACTGAGAAGAAACTATAAATAGAAACCAAAAGCCAACTAAAAATCACTAAAATCAAACAGAAAACAAAATAATAAAAAACATAAATAAATACACGTCATATCTTTGGATTTTTTTGGTTAAGTTTTTCACCAATAAAAAATTAAAATGGAGGAAGAAATCATAATTTCACCAGTAGCCCCATCTAGAGTTTGGAGTTAATAGCATAGGAAATGTCATTCACGTGGAACCTTTACGTGCTTTTCTGGTTACTGTGGTTACTGTAATAACTATATTATTGAATGTCAGATGTCAAATTTAATTTAAGTTTGGAGATTTCTAAATGGAATTTGAATTTTAGGAATTTTAGTTTGTTTTCTTCAAAATTTACACTTTTTCTCAAATATCTCGAATACGGTCCATTTTAGAGAAATTATGTACAGGACAAGAATTATACAAAATAATATTAGAAACAACTTTTATTTGAACAATTTTCATTAAAACTTTATTTTTTTTTTCATTTTGTCAAATTTCTCGAATACGGACCATTTTAGGAAAATTTTCTATAGAACAAAAATTATAGAGAATAATATTATAAATAACTTTTGTTTAAAAAATTTTCTTCTCCAAACGTAAATAACAGATATATTCCATAAAATATCAAAATTACTCTCTATAAAGTACCCTCCCAGATATTCCGACTCTGCCCAAAATCTTATCAGTTCACCGCAGGCCGGAATAAAGCTTAAATTTAAAATTTGGTGTTTTTCGCTTTATCCGTTTTTGAATTTTCATCAAAATTCGATATTTATACTTTTTCTCAAATATCTCGAATACGGTCCATTTTAGAGAAATTATGTATAGAACAAGAATTATAGAGAATAATATTATAAACAACTTTTATTTGAACAATTTTCATAAAAACTTGAATTTTTTTCATTTTGTAAAATTTCTCGAATACGGACCATTTTAAGAAAATTTTCTATAGAACAAAAATTATAGAGAATAATATTATAAACAGCTTTTATTTAAAAAATTTTCTTCTCCAAACGTAAATAACAGATATATTCTATAAAATATAAAAATTACCCTCTATAAAGTACCCTCCCAGATGTTCCGACTCTGCCCAAAATCTTATTAGTTCACCGTAGGCCGGAATAAAGCTTAAATATAAAATTTGGTGCTTTTCGCTCTATCCGTTTTTGAGTTTTCATCAAAATTCGATATTTATACTTTTTCTCAAATATCTCGAATACGGTCCATTTTAGAGAAATTATGTAATATACAAGAATTATAGAGAATAATATTATAAATAACTTTTATTTGAACAATTTTCATAAAAACTCGAATTTTTTTCATTTTGTCAAATTTCTCGAATACGAACCATTTTAGGAAAATTTTCTATAGAACAAAAATTATAGAGAATAATATTATAAACAACTTTTATTTAAAAAATTTTCTTCTCCAAACGTAAATAACAGATATATTCTATAAAATATAAAATTACCCCCCATAAAGTACCTCCCCAGATGTTCTGACTCTGCTTAAAATCTAATTAGTTCATCGCATGCCGGAATAAAGCTTAAATTTAAAATTTGGTGTTTTTCTTTGTATTCGTTCATGAGTTATTAAGGATACAGACACAAGAAATTCTGCTAATTTTCGCCCTCAAGAGGGCGCTAATATCGGAATTTGACACAACAATATTAGTATTACGGACCTTATTTATATTATAGTAACTTATTTTGCAAAGCACGCCTATGGAATGTGATTTTATATCCCCACTTTTATCACACTCCTCTTTTATCCAGGTTATAGATTATTGCAAATTGTATATAAAAAAATATATTGTTTTTTGCTATTCTAAAAAGTAGATTTTATGACATACGACATTCTACAATATGTAATATTTTTAAATTTGAAAATTTAATTCCTTAAAATCAATCAACAAACATTTTAAATCATAAGAACATAAAAATAAATTCAATATTTGCAAAATTATATTTCTGATGGATAAAATAAATTTGTGCACGAGGCTGTATGAGGAGTAAGATACGAACAATCTACTAGAGTTGTATAGTAAATTATTTCTACGTTAAACTTACCTAAATCTATCAAATTTAGCAAATTTCTTCCAATCAGCTGGATTAGATTTGTAAGATTTCATCACATAATGTACCAAATCAATGTTAACTTTATCACTAGAAAAAATCACTTCTAACTCTTTTATTAAATCGTCCAAATTATTAATAACAGGTAAATCATTTCCAATTTCCTTACAAAGTTTGATATCATCATAATCTTCAACGAAATCATTTTTAAATTCGTTGTACTTGAAAACTTCCATTTTTAAACGTTTTAAATTCACGTGTATTTAGTTAACCGTTGGTTTTATTATAAGAAATTATTTTCCGTTGTAAACACTTGGTTAATTTTAAAGTTTCAATAACTTTTGATAAACTTTGATAGCTTAGGTCAAATCAAAATAAAAAAACATCCATTGAAATATGTAGTTATTGTTATTTTGAAAAGTACGTTTCAACATCGTTTCTCTTATAAAGATGAGTAGATTGTTGGCAGGGAAATAATAGTAGGTATACCTTTTTCATACTTTTATGCGTATAGACCAGTCAATGAAGTACAATTGAGGTGCAAATTAAGTTTAATAATATTTTACACTTTCTTTTAGTTTCAAACGATTGGAAATCTTTTGGTGATTATAGATTTTTAAATAAAGTGACAATTTCTAAGAGATTTTCTTTAAGCTTGATTTCAGGCGTTACTTTTAATTGTCTAAAATAGAATTTGGTTAGGGCTTACCACCAGAACCAAATGGCAGAAGAAGATATTTTTAAAATAGCAATTACCACTCGTTTTGGTTCTTTTGAATTCCTTAGAATGCTTTTTGTATTATGAAACGCAGGCAATACATTTCGAAGATTTATTACCGAAGTCGTTAGAGGCCTAGAATTTATTTTTGTATACTTACACGACGTACAGTACTGTGAAAACAGTTCTGATTCTTTTTTTATTTGATAAAATGCAAATACTAAACCGTTCTTTTTTCTAGCTCTTTCTACTAATTAAATTTATGAATAAATTTAAATTGAGCACACTCCATATTTTATTTGTATTTAGGTACTAGTACACTGTATCTATCCCCGACCTTTTAGCAAAACTGAAGCTAGGAGAACCCAAGAACCATCTGGTAAAATAACAGCTTCATAAATATTTAGATAAAAAATATATTATTAAAAATACAGTAAAAAAACGTATTGATACAAAAGTAACAAAAATGCATTAACACTAATGATGGTAATCAAACCCATATCCTTTATCACCTCCATGTGCGCCTACAGCAGCGCCGGCTGCAGCAGCGTTCGATTGCGCGAGATGCGCAGCTTCAGCAGCTTTCTGAGCAGAACCTTCCGTTTGTTGCAAATCACTCAAACAATTCTGTAAATGAGCTGATATTTGACTCAAACGTTGTTTGGCTTCTATAAGCATCGCGTGTTGAGCTCCAGCAGCTTGGGCAGCTTCGTTAGCTGATTGGGAGGCATGTTGAGCTCCAGCTTGAGCAGTCGTAAGGGCTGCGGATAGAGAATTGAGTTGAGCTTGAGCTTGGTGAGCGGTTTCCTGAGCAGCTTGAGCAGCGGCTTGGGTTTGTTGGTATTGAGCAGCTTCGGCGTGGACTTGTTGTTGAGCTTCTGCTAGTTGTTGCTTGAGGTTGTTTACTAGAGCTTGTTTGCCTACTAAGGCGGCTTGTGCAGCTTGCGCCGCCTGAAAAAGAGATTAAAAAGAATATATAAGTTAATGGTTTATAACTGAGTCATATTTATGATAATAACTGTGGATCTATGTAGATCCTTTCCTGTTGATTATTTTTAACGATGAAACATCGGTTTAGACTTAAAAATGCTTAGATTAAAATAGTTTTCCTTATCCAGTGAAGTGAAGGTGGTGCTCTCTTTGTCTAATCACAAAATTGATAATATGCTTATGATTTAATAGTCCAAAAATATGACCATACTAAATTTGAAGTAAATACCTTGAATAATAATCAAAATATTGCAAAAAAAATGGAAAATACATACATCCAGACAGTCCAATGGAGATCATTAATTTGACAGCTGCATTTCGATGTCCATATAGGACGTTTATTTTTGGACTTTTTAGTATTATTTTGACGTCCAGTGGACGTTCATCTTAGGTCATTATTTATTTAACCTACCAGATAATACCCATTTATATACACTTCCTTTTTTAATAGAATTGGTCATTAAAAATTGAAAAATTAAATCTATTACATTTCATTCTATCAGCGGAAGTTTGAAATCTTTTTCTAATACCGTATCTATTAAGAATTTTTTAAGTGGCTTTTTTTAAGCACCAATGTGCCATTTGTATACTACATTGGACGTCGGAAGTCCAGAAAAACTCATCTTTGGACGTCCAGACATCCAAAATTGTATATCGAATGGACGTGCAATGGACGTATTTGTGCTCTCTGGGCAATATCCTGGACCTATTTCTTATAAAACACCCTGTATATACGTTTGATATTGAGTTTTTTACTAAGAAGAATTTTAATAACATTGTTTAGACGATTTTGGAAAAAAAATTGTTTCCTTCTTAAAAATATTCCAATAAAATTATTAAATATATTGAATACGGTCCATATAATCAAAAAATGTTTAGTTATCCTCCGTATTTTACAATCAGTACGTATTTATCTTAATTTACACATACCTATACCTATTTTTCTATATTAAAACGAATTATTATATCAAATGTAATACCTACTACCGTTTATAATTCAAAATAACTAAATAAAAACAACAAATAATGTATTATGTATAAATTTTACTTATTTATTCTCGTTTTGTTTAATTATTTCATTAAATTATTAGAATTATCCATATTCATCGCTATTATAACAGCATCGTAACCTTAGACATTGCCTGTTATTTTTTTACGTCTCATTTCCTGAAATGACAAATGTCTTTGCCATCTTACACAGCGTTGCCAGTGTTACAATTGTAACAAATCTATTACTTTTAGGTCTTTTGTAACAACGATCAGAAATCAATCACTGACATCATTTCTCCACAGTAGATTATTGAGATCACCTAATTATTTACTTCTCAGAATCCTGATGTCAGTAACTGGTTTGTTATCGTTGTTGGAACAAACCTACTATTACATTTCCGATAAATCTATTACATTTTCACGAGTTTTAAACGAACTATTGATAAACTTGAACTTAAACCATCTCTCGTTGCTTCTTGTTCAGCAGACGGCGAGTCTTATGTAATGCCTCTATCTATTAAACAGGGCAGCTATTTTTAAACTCAAGAGAATTCGTTTCTCTCAAGAGAAATGTCATACGTCAACGTAAAACAGTATTTTATAGGGCTCTTAGGGCAAGTGTGAACTCGCTGACTGTTTCTCTCAGTTTATTTAGAGATAATTAATATTCTCCTAAGAATTTTAATTCTCGAGGCCTTTAAAAACAACGTTTCCACATTGACGTATGACATTTCTGACGAGAATCTTGAGAGAAATGAGTGCTTCCATACTTTTTTAATACAATACAATATTCTAATACATTTTTTTATTATTTCATACAACTAATGCACGCTTATGTCATCCTAAACATGTTTCCTTGAATTAGTTCATCCTAAACGTTGGTAGAATACTGGAAAATATCTTATAACCTATAGAATTTGTAAAATATATTGGTTTTTTACATATTTTGTCTTACAGATGTTATAGATTGTCTCAGAATCGACCCAGTGCTTCTTTGAGCACGCACACAGGGCCACCGAGAGTCATAGTGGGGCCATAGAGTAAAACACTGGCAAGGGCCCGCTTCCCACTAATTATAACCTATTTTTTTAAAGCTACCGGACCCCCTGTCCCCCCCTTTCGTTGGTCTTGCAAGCACAAAGCGATTAAAAAGTGTCTTTTATCAATTAATGTAAAATTTCTGTTAGTTTAACCGTTTAAACAGAATATACATATTAATAAAAGAATATTGAACAAAAATACCCTCGTACAATAATTAAAAGATTGTCGTTGATCTTATAAATAAATAGGTATAATAAAATAACCATAAAACATTAATTATCAATAGTTAATTTTAACTTATTAAAATTTCTATTACATTTTCTTAAAATTTGTCATATCTATTACATTCCGGCATATTGATCTGGCAACACTGTTGATTTTAGTTGGCGTCTGTGCCGTTGTGTGTGTATCTGTCTGTTTCAAATATAAATTTTTCGTTAAATAGTGACTAAAAATCATTATTTTTATTAAAATCCTGTGTTTGATCCTGACTACAAAAGATTTGAGAGGTAAGTAAACTATTTCTTTGTAATTTTCATAATAAAACTGGTATAGAGTTGATTCATACTTAATTGTACCTACTTAGCTTGGGCTGCTTTAGAAGCTTCCAGAAAAATGTTTAATAAAACTACTATTATATCGAAATTAATTACATAATTACGTTAATTATGTACTGTTACATTTATATTTCCAAAATACCAGTAGATACATTTGTTTAATTTAATTTATTGAAGAAAGAATTTTCAAATTTCCCAGCCGAATCTAGTAGGTATTTGTACCTGTCATTTCATTTCACTGCTTTTGTTTAAATCGTTTACAAACATTAAGAATAAGTGAGGTTATTTTTTCATGTAAAAGTGTTTTATTCATATTAATTGAAGTGTTTTCCCCATCTAAGATATTTAAGGTAATAAAGCAGTTTTTTATAAAAGGTAAAATATTCTAGATCGTTTTTTTTTGCATGTTCATTACCTATAGATATTTTTCTCTAATAAAAATACTTAGGTACTAACTAGGTATACCTATCATTTTTTATGTAGTATTTAGATGAATATGTTATAGAAATATGTGGGTAGATCATACAAAAAGTTAGGTAGGTACCTACGTATTTACCTATCAAGTATTAACATCTTTTCTCAATAAAAAATCAGTCAATATCAGTGTTTCTGTTATAACAATTATTTTAAATTTGATTTCTTTATTAGAATAATAGTTAGCCACATCCAGCTCGTAATACCACGTGTTATCTGATACAGAGTGTGCCAAAAACATTGCATTATATGTAGAATCTATTTTTGATTCATCAGACAAAAATATTTTTAGTTAAAAGTTTGATTTGAATTGAATTCCTATCATAATTTATTCAATTAATTTTTTTTCTTTGAGCATACGAGGGAAGGCAAAAATACACTATATTATACCGATTGTTGTACAATTTTTAATATTTAAGTTCTTTAATAAAATACCTAATAGTCATATCCAGCTTTCCTAATAAGCAGATGTCAAGTAGACGTCATTTAAAGGTTTTTTTGACCACTTTGGTTAGTAGTCAATATATGACGTCTTACTTTCGTCAATTTTGACATATGACGTCTTATCTATGCCTGAAATATCACGTTTTACTGACGTTATATTTCAGAC